ATTTCCGTGCTCCTTCTAAGATCCTCTGGCGTACCATTCGTGGGTAATTTCTCTTTTGAGCTTTCTCTATCTCTTATATTTGAACGGGGCTTTGAATATTTCATTATTCTTCAATGTTGTGAATGAAAGGGGATTTTTGGGTTTCTTATGTAGAGTTTGTTGGGAACTTTTTGTTTAGTTCTTATATTTGGTTTTTAGATTATCACTGTAAAGTTTTGGATGAATTTTCTGTTTCGTCATTGTTGTTTGGTGCTTGGAAAATATAGAAAGGAAATGAAAAATGGATATTATGAGTTTGCTTAAGGTCATTATTGCTAAAATTAGTGAATACCATAAGCTCTATAGATCTATGAATCTATGACTCTTATGCTTCAGAAGAAGAGCATTTTGTTTCTTTATATAATTCTTGGGTTTTTGTGTAGAGTTTAGTTTTAACTTTTGGATTGTTCTATGGTTATTGGATTTTTTCATTTTAATGTCTTGGATGAATTTTCTGTTTCCTCATTTTTGTTTGGTTCTTGGGAAAATAGAGGAAAGAAAGGGAAAGGTATTATGGGTTTGCTTAAGGTTTTAATTGCTGGATTTAGTGAACAATATAAGCTTTAAAGATCTATTAATCTTATGCTGGAGAAGGGTACTTTGCTTCATTTTATATTAAGTATTGGCTCTGTTTCGATTTGAATTAGTGTACTTTAATGTTCCTTATTATTGATATCTGTTTTGGTTTTTAGGATGATTCCTCACAAGACCAAGCGTGGAGCAGCAGCTCTTGCTCGATTGAAGGTGTATGAGGGGGTTCCAGCTCCTTACGATAAGACAAAGAGGATGGTTATTCCTGATGCCCTGAAGTGAGTTTCAAAATATTTGTTGGCTTCTTTGCTTGTTTTGGGATTTGATTGGTTCAATGATTAGTTATGTTTGGTGTTTTTGTTGCTATTTGGGTTTTGAATTAGGGTTTTGAGGCTTCAGAAAGGACACAAGTACTGCTTGTTGGGCAAACTCTCATCTGAGGTCGGATGGAACCACTATGACACTATCAAGGTGAAGATTGATTATCCTGTTCAAATTTTCAAATACTACTCGTCTTTCAATGCTTTTTGCTTTAAACTTATTTCTGAATTATATGTATATATAAATGTCTGCATGCAAGTAATTGTGTGTATATATTTTTCAGTGATTATTGTTCTGTATTTTCCTTGTGTGTTATGAATTGAATATCGATGTTCCCCATTGATGCCTACGTGGCAGACGGGGCCCTATTACTTTTTATAAGACATTTTTCTTATATTGTCACGGTCATATTCCCAAGTCGCGTCATTTCTGTAAATGTAATTCTTGGTTGAATTAATCTATGGTTTTGGGCATCCGAGTTTATAACATCTTTTAACTTATGGCTGCCCGGTTCTTCCCTCCAGGAGCTCGAGAGGAAGAGGAAGGAAAGAGCACAAGTGGCATACGAGAGAAGGAAGCAACTTACTAAACTTAGGGTCAAGGCCGAGAAGGTTGCAGAGGAGAAGCTTGGTGCTCAGTTGGAAGTCATTGCTCCTATCAAATACTGATTCAAAGTCAGTAATTCTATTGCCCTAATCATTTGAAGTAGATGTTATGCTATATACACTTCAGTATGTTACTTTCGGTGTCTTTTACTTATTTGCTTGAGAAACACTTTCTGGTTTTTAGTTCCCTTTTTGGTATTTTATGTTTTCAGGATTTGGTTTTGGTTACTACAACTCGGACTCTACTAGTTTACCAATTGATTAAAGAATTGGAATTTTTATTTACTTTTTTTGCAATTATCAGTTTCAGGTTGGTAATTAGACGTGAACAAAACTTGATTCGATTTAGAAAAAAATGTTTTTTTTTAAATTTGATTAGTTGATTCGAGTTGTGGGTTTTTCAAATTATTTTTTTCGAATTTGAGTTTGAATTGAATCAAATTTTACGACTCGATAAACTTGAATAACAAATTAGTTTACATTTTCTAACATCAAATATTTTTATGTTTTTGTACATAAATGATACTTTTAAGAATACAAAAAGGGGGGATAATATCTTAATCAAGAGAATTCAACTTATATTAGGCTGTATCTTGGTACATGATAGCATATAATCGTAAATTAATTTAAATTGATTGAACATTACAATCAGTTACAAATTAAATATATTCGTTACTCGTAAAAAGAGCTATGGATAAAAGGAATAACCACAAAGCTTGCGAGAAATCAAAACTGATGGCTTCTTGTAACTATAGTCCCTTTCTCTTATTATAGCAACATTGTGCACACAAATCAATATATGATCGAATGAAATGATAAATGAAACCACAAGGCACGAACCAAGAAATGCTTTTGTTTTATTAAATAATTGGGACTTTACTTAGCACAAACATTGATAAGTATGAGTGGCTTATATGCTAAGGGGATGACATGGTAAAGGAGGTGATAGAGACTTGTAATACAAAGTTGGATGGAATGAGCATAGTGAGGGCGGAGGGTTGAGATAGATTTGTGGTGGAGGTGACTTGTAAGTATATGGAGGAGGTGGAGGTGATTTGTACTTGTATAGAGGTGGAGGTGGTGACTCATACTTGTATGAAGGAGGTGGTGGTTATTTGTACTTGTATGGAGGTGGAGGTGGTGACTCATACTTGTACGGAGGTGGTGGTGGTGACTTACGGTGGCGGGGGTGGAGACTCGTACTTGTAAGGAGGAGGTGGTGGTGACTTGTACGATGGAGGGGGTGGAGACTCGTACTTGTAAGGAGGAGGTGGGGGTGACTTGTATTTGTATGGAGGTGGAGGTGGACTCGTACTTGTACGGAGGTGGTGTGGGTGACTTGTACTTGTATGGAAGTGGATGTGGAGATTTATACTTGTACGGAGGTGATGGGGTGACTTGTAATTGTATGGAGGTGGAGATGGTGACTCATACTTGTAAGGAGGTGGTGGGGGTGACTTGTACTTATATAGAGGTGGAGGTGGTGACTTATACTTGTAAGGAGGAGGTGGCAGTGACTTGTACGTGTACGGAGATGGTGGTGGTGATTTGTACTTGTATGGAGGTGGTGACTCATACTTGTACGGAGGTGGTGGGGTGACTTGTAATGAGATGGTGGTGGTGGTGAGTTGTACTTGTATGGAGGTGGAGGTGGTGACTCATACTTGTAAGGAGGAGGTGGCAGTGACTTGTACTTGTATGGAGGTGGAAGTTGTGATTCATACTTGTAAGGATGTGGTGGTGGTGACTTGTATTTGTATAGAGGTGGAGGTGGCGACTCATACTTGTAAGGAGGAGGTGGTTGTGACTTGTACTTGTATGGAGGTGGAGGTGGTGACTCATACTTGTACGGAGGTGGTGGTGGTGACTCATACTTGTAAGGAGGAGGTGACAGTGGTGACTTGTATTTGTATGGAGGTAAAGGTGGTGATTCATACTTGTAAGGAGGAGATGACGGTGACTTGTACTTGTATGGAGGTGGAGGTGATGACTCATACTTGTAAGGAGGAGGTGGTGGTGACATGTACTTGTATGGAGGTGAAGGTGATGACTCATACTTGTATGAGTAATTTGTTTAGTTTTTATTTATTTTTATTATTTTATTTAGTTATTATGTTTTAAGATAATCTAATTCTTTAAATAGATTAACAGATTTATCGAATTTATGCTTCTATTCAACACTCATCTTACTATAATCTAATCCTTTAAATTTATTTATAATCTAATCCTTTAAATTTATTTATAATCTAATCCTTTAAATTTATTTATAATCTAATCCTTAGGAGCATATGCTACTAACCTCCTTGTTTATTGGATCTTTATACTTTGATTACTTATAATATTTTTAATTCGTTTTTTACTCACATCAATTTTTAAATAAAGTTTTACGTGAACAATTTTAATGATAAAAGAGAGTGTTCTTCTTTTTAGAAATCCTAGATTCGAGTAGTTGCTTCTACATAGTGTGTGCGTCATCAATAGTTAAAAAAGATTAATAACATATACTATTTAAAAAAATTCATCCATGATATAATTAAACATTTAAATAACCTAATTACATGTAATAACTCTAAACTAATTCATATATGCATATAAACATTCATATAGTTACGATAACATGTATCATAAGGTGTCACTGTCCAGTATGGATGAATTTATAAATTTATAAAATTTTAAAAGAGGATAAATTTATAACATTTTAGAGAGTAGAAACATATTTTGAATAAAAAAAAATATAAGAATTTGAAATTTTAAAAGGGCGAATGGCTTACGCTACCCTCGTGATCCATCCTACTCTCTGTTAATTGAATCCATATATAGAAAAATATTAAAAAGTTGATGTATTAGATATTACACAATTTGACTCATGATTCTAATTGTTGGTCTTAATTGCGTCAAATCAAAAATAATCTATAGAAGAAACATTAAAAGATATATGTATTGTTTAATGTTTGATTTGATGCATAAAATGGAAAATTTAATGTTTAATGGTTGGTCTCATATGCCAGATTACCATCTTTACATTACCTGTATACCTCCATTTGCATTTTTTTATGGCTACATTCTAAAGATATAACCAGGGTTTAAATCGCAGTCGCGTTTTTTGTATTCGGGTTTATGATTGTGGCCGTCGCGGACACTATTGCGGGTGTAGCGGGTAACTCGGACAGCGACGAAACCGCTATTTGGTGGACGAAATCACGTTTTCGGACCATGATTTGAAACTCTGGATATAATGTTCAAATCCGACTGTTATAGAAAATATCATCTCTGCTGAGAAATTTGATCCGGTGAATACCAACTTCATATTCGAGTCGGATTTCAGGTCTGGATAACATAATCAAATCCAAATTAACAAAAGCAAACAATCAAAAGAGAGAGTATTGATTGATATCTTTCCATAAGCATATAGGTGACTTTTAAGTTTTCTCCTTTAAAAACTTTTCTGGTTTTCACTGTAAATTACCCACCATTTCTCTCAACCCTTTCAGTTATTCTTTTTACCATTAACTTAACCTGAAGATGTCAGTGATTCACTCTCTTCTCACTCTATTCATTGTTTTTTTACTGTGTTTCGAACAAATGTCAGCGGCATGCAAAACAGTGACGGTCGATCAATTTGGCCATGGAGATTTTTCCACTATTCAATCAGCTATAAACTCGGTTCCATCAAATAATGTACAGTGGTATTGCATCAATGTTAATCCTGGTACATACATATATATATATATATATATATGTGTGTGCATGTATGTTTAACTTAATTATATATTATTAGTATGTATGTATGTATGGATGTATATGAAACATTTTGTATATAGGGAGAAGGTGAATATCCCAAGAGACAAGCCATTCATACTTCTCAAGGGTTCCGGACAAAGGAAAACCATGGTGGTCTGGAATGAAGCATACCTACATAACGCAACTTTCAGTTCTTTTGCTGATAATATTGCTGTCACGTCCATGAGCTTCATAGTAAGCAAATTAAATACTTTCTTTCCCCTTGTTATAGCTTAGGTTTTATAGATTTTAAATGATTTTATCTTGTATGTATGGAAATGAATAGAATTCATACTGGGATCCGAAGAGCGAACACACTAAGGCTCCGGCGGTAGCCGCACTGGTTAACGGCGACAAAAGCTTCTTCTTCCGATGCGGATTCTCAAGTGTTCAAGATACTTTGTTCGATTCTATCGGTCGCCATTACTTCAAGGAATGCTACATCGAAGGTGCTGTCGATTTCATTTTTGGTAATGGTCAATCTATTTATGAGGTAAATTTTTTTTTTTGTTATTACATTGACATAAATTTTAAATACGATTATGAGTGGCTACATGCAAATGTTGTTGAGCATCGTTTCATAGGGATGTTCTATACGGTATCTCGGGGAGATGTTGCCGCCGGGGCTCGCCGGTTTCATTACAGCACAAGCGAGGAACGGCCCGAATGAGCCGACCGGATTCGTTTTCAAGCACTGCATTATCTATGGGAAAGGGACGACGTATTTAGGCAGGGCATTGCGAGATTTCTCAAGGGTTTTGTTTTATGATTGCAATTTTTCAGACGTTGTCGATTCACTAGGTTGGAATGCTTGGAGACGTGTTGGCAAAGAGTATGTCTCGAATCCTTTTACGTAATATTAGGATTCGAATCTTAAACTACTACATTCGATTACTTTCGAATTCGATTTTCTATATAGGATTCGAATCTCTGACATTTACGTTGTTGTTTTTTTAATTATTACTGCTTGGAAATGGTGTAGGCAACAGTTTACCTTTGCCGAGTACAAAAACTTTGGACCAGGAGCAGATACATCACAGAGGGTGAAGTGGATGAAGAATCTTGATCCTCAAACGTGGCGGTATGTATATCTTTGTTATTATCATTGTAGCTCTATATGGCCATGGGCGTGGTTTGTATTATTAAAACTATTTAATAACATAAATTAATAATATATGTTAGCGTTATTAAATAAATTTTTTTTGACAATGACCACTATGAAATCCCTAACATACAATTTACTCGAATCCGAAAACTCTATGGATAACAACCATCTCTTTAACCACTAAGATAGTTTGATCCGTGTTGTTATTGAATAATATTTAAGTATAATAAAATTACAAGAATAGTATACAAAATTATGTTTATACTCTAGGTGACCTATCACGTAAGTAAAGACGTTTTCTTGAGAAAGAGTCTTTCAAAAGACATTGCTACGTAGACGCGTTTTTATCATATGTGATAAAAGTGAGTGCTATTTTGAGAAATAAAATTTTTATGATGCTATTTTAGTAAAGAAAAAGTTTAAAATGATATAAATTTAATAATTTAGCTTGAATTTGTCGTCCAATGATTTTTCCAAAATAAAATGGTCTTATTATACATGGCAACAACTGATTCTATTGAAATTTCGATTTTGGTCCTAGTTTTTGTAAAATACACAGTCCATTGAATGTCGAGTCGAGTTTCGATCATAATGTATAACAATTAAATCAGAATATATGTGGTTAAAAATCTAACTCGACCGAACCTATGATCACTCATAATCATACTAATATTGATTATAATCGATCAAGCGTCAACACATAATACACAAACGTTCATAGCATTATAATTTTAAGAAGATGCGATCATCTTCTAACATATAAGAAGTTCTAAAGTGCGGCACCCTTAATATAAAAATAAAAAAAGGCGTTACAAGTTTTTTATTATTATTTAAATAATAAAATCGGTAAAAAAATTATCTAAAACATTATTATTTCTACTTAAAACATTAATATTTTTTAATATTCTGGTAAAGTGCCCAACAATAATAAAATTAATAAAAAAATAAAAATAATTAATAAAAATAATAATAAAATCGATAATATTTTTTTAACTGTATATTAAAATTATCAAACGTGATCATTTCCCTGAGATCTCTCTATCCGGATAATGAAAGATTTGGACTTTAAATTAATATTTGCCTAGAAAGAAAGAGAGAGATCATGTAGGCCCCAACATTGTAAACAATTTTTGCAAGTAATGAATGCAAAAAGTAAAGCTAATATTTGGTGTGATGTCACTTCATGTACTACTCTAACACTGCAATCAAACAAAGTATAAACGTGTTACAGTTTTAATATACTAAAAATATTATTAATTTTGTTATTATTTAAATAATAAAATTAATAAAATATTATTATAAATATTATTATTTTTATTAATTTTATTATTTTATTATTGATTTTATTATTGTTGGTTATTTTATTAGAAATATTAAAAATATTGATGTTTTAGATAAATTTAATAATGTTGTAAGTATTTTTTTATCAATTTTATTATTTAAATAATAATAAAATCGATAATATCTTTTTTAACCGTATATTAAAGATGTCGTATTCTAGAGGTTGTCATTGTCCACAACACGACACACAATAAAACAAATGTAACCCCACTGTTTACCTATCACTGGCAAAAATCTGCTTCACTTTTCCTATCAATTCTGCATCCTCTTCCATTATAGCCTCGCTGCCCTTCATCGGAGCTGCCGATAATGTGGTTTTAAACCTCGAATTAGATCGGAAATAGAAGATTAGATCGTTTAGACTTCTTTAATCATATAAAGAAGTTTTACAAATAAGGTTTGTAAAAAAAATTTGGTGGTTTTAATAATAAAATAATGTTATTCTTGTTAAATAATCTAAATTCGAGTAATTGTGTCGGTAGAGTATGTGAGTTAAACTTATATAAAAAAAGTTTTATATAACATAAATTATAAAATATACTAATATTCATGTTAAAATTTATTAATATAAAAATATATTTGTCAAATATATTACATGTTATTAATTTAGTTCGATGGTTAAACATTTGATTTTTAATTTAAAAGACTTAAATTCAATTAAAAATTAAATAATATTATTTTGACAAAAATTTTGCATATGTGAATATTTTAATGTAGTTAAAATTGTCATATTTATTTTTATACAAAATTAAAATTTAAAATTTAAAATTTATTATATAATTTTTAAAAATTTAATATCTAAAAAATATTTTAACATGATTTAGTGACTATTTAAGAATTTTATTATACAAAATAAGTGAATTAATTATAGAATGGTCTTTATTTTATATAATATTCACTTAATAAAAAAAATTTAATTAATGATATATTTCAATGCATTGTATTAATAAAAAAACATAGTTGAAAGTGAAAGACAGAGACACAACAAGACATCGCTGTCTTAACCTCGCAATGCTTAAATTCACTCACCCCGCTTTTCTCTCTCTCTCTCTCTCTGTCTCTGTCATACTTCGGGGCTCCGTGCCCCGACCCGAAAAACGAAGAACCCAACTCTTATTTTGCTCCTATTCATTGCTGGCCCTGCATTTTCCATCACTTTCCTGAGGAAAAAAAGAAAGAAGCAGTTGCAGAAGAAAAGAATGTACTCGGGTATTCGGTCGTTACCGTTGGATGGAAGTGTGGAAGATTATCAAGGGTCGTTTGATGCGACCAACTTGCTCGGCGATGCTTGTTTGGTCTTAACAACGGATCCCAAGCCCCGACTCCGATGGACGGTTGAACTCCATGAACGTTTCGTCGATGCCGTCACTCAACTTGGCGGCCCTGACAGTGAGTTTTTCTTTCATTGGTTATTTAAATACTGAGCTTAATTTCATTTGATTGGATAATAATTAATTGTTTTTTATTGAGGTTTTCTAAGTTTTTTTTAGTGAATTTCGAATGATGGGTCGATTTTCACTTTCTAAAGCTTTTAGTTCTTAAAATGTGGATCGGCTTTTCTTGACTTTTTGCTCTCACTTGTTGCTTTAGATCTTTGATTTATGTGATATGAAATTGATGAGATTTGGTCACTGGCTTCTTTGAGATTGATTGTTTTTTTATTTCTGGGTTCGTTTCTCTGTGTTGGCCTTGATTTTGAGACTTTACCCCTCTTTTACATGTATGTGTGTATGCATGTAATTTGTATTGTTGGGGATGTTTGATGAATAGTTATTTGTATAGGCCAAGTGATTAAATTGAGCGTTGATTTGACTTTCTGGATGAAGATATGTTACCATGTTCTTCATATCAGCTTTGATTTGCAATCATGTTCGATTATCGATGCCATTAAACATCAGTTGAAAATCGATCACGACATCTACGAACTTTATCTCATTGCCGTTGGCTCTTTCTCTCAATCCTATACATTTTACATCTTAGTTTACGATTTTATAGGAAGGGACTTTCTTCTTATGCATAAATACATAGACAATTGACTAGCTCACTCATTGAGGTTGGTTTCGTTTTCATTTTAATCTTTTAATACTACTTTCTGGTTTTACAATTCTCCGGTAATATTCAAATTTGTGCGCCCACTGGCACTATGTGTTTCTGGGGTACTTCTCCAATGATAAAATGCAACCAAAAGGACAAAATGTTTCGGGACCATGATTTTTTTTAGAGGAACCATTATGTTCAATAATTGATGTCAGCGTACTTTTGTTGGAAGACAAACTTGAGCAACTATGGTTACTTTGTCCTGCTCTTGGAAGAATATTCTTGGGACTAGTGTTTCCTTGTAAAAGTTATGCCAAAGGACTAAAGATCAGGGCCAAATGACCGGGTTTGTGTAGAAAGTTGTTTACGTTGTTTAAACATTGCTTGTAAGAAATAATTGTACAAGCATCATATCGTGATGTTCTTTCCTTCTCTTTGAACATGTAACTGTCTTTAATGCCATGCTCAAGCATACCACAGGCTCTAGCTTATTTTTTGTTCTCTAATGTGGATTTCTTCTAATGATATTGCTGATCCATATTCTGTAATTGTAATCAAGATGCTTGTGGATGTGAGGTCACAAAATGGAGGAAAAGAGTACGTAAATAGTTGCTTTTGTGAATGTATGTAGTAAAATACTATCATATAAATAACAAATTACGAAATTACGAGTGATTTGTGATGGCTGAATGACAATCACCTAACCTCAAGGCCACTAATGCCAGTCTGTTAAATGTTCCTTCTGGCATCCTGTTGTTGAATTGAGGCTTATCACTGCTGAGGCAAATCAGGCTTCGTGTGCATCTAAGCTTGGCTTATATGCAACCAAAGATGTAGATGATTGGTGCCCCGGCTTCTCTAACTATAATTGTTGCGCCATGGTTTAATACAGTCACTTAGCCAGGGTAATTATATCATTATATGTGCTTGTCGATTTGAACTCCGGAGTGATTTTATGTGAACCAAACCTAGCTAATTGATGACGACATTACAAGTCAACATTTGGGATATCTCCTTTTTGCTCTTGCATTTTGTTATTCTGAAGTTATGTATCTCGCTGTTGCTTACTTGTTTTTTTTCTTGATATGCATTGCAGAAGCAACCCCGAAGACTATCATGAGAACAATGGGAGTAAAAGGTCTTACCCTCTATCACTTGAAATCACATCTTCAGGTTTGTAATTATTTCTGTATCTTTAATGATCGGTAGCTGAAGTTATTCCATGTTGTCATGTCTTAACCCCTTCTATTTCTATGTTGAATACGGATCTTTGTTTGCAACAAGATTTGCTAGAATCTATGTCATTCGTAGTTTCGCACTCTAGTGTGTGTTGAATATGAGTATGTTCAAATTTTTCCAAGTGTTTTGCATGTGTTTGGAGGGTCCTTGGAGGATCATATCGTAATACCTATATGCTCAAATATGTCTGGAACATGAGTATTTCAAGAATAATGAAGATAGACTGTAATTACTAAGCTTAATGCGTGTTTATCGTGCACCTTCCATATATGCATGTGTTTGTGTCGGAAGGAAGGGACTTTGCCACCTAAGCTACTTGAAAATCTGAAAATTTGTATTTTCTACTTATTTTACTTAATCTCCTCGATTTGCAGAAATACCGGCTGGGGAAGCAATCTTGCAAGGAATCAACTGATAATTCTAAGGATGGTAAGCTTCTTCGTCTCTTGAAATTACTATTTACTTTAGAATTCATGCCTTTGATGTACATATGAGTCGTGATTGAGCACCAAATTATCGATTTTTGTCAATCTTTCTTTGCATTTAACCTCTTTTCAATTGTTTTCCTTTCTGCCATGTATGTATTATATGCGGTTCTTGGCGGAGGCCCTGAAGATTCTCGTGTTAACTGATAGATGTTGAGATAGTATTGTGTTCTTAGTTGATTGATAACTTGATGTTTTATTGTGTTTCAGTTTCTTGTGTTGGAGAAAGTCAGGACACCAGTTCGTCTGCAACATCGTGAAAATTACTATTTACTTTAGAATTCATGCCTTTGATGTACATATGAGTCGTGATTGAGCACCAAATTATCGATTTTTGTCAATCTTTCTTTGCATTTAACCTCTTTTCAATTGTTTTCCTTTCTGCCATGTATGTATTATATGCGGTTCTTGGCGGAGGCCCTGAAGATTCTCGTGTTAACTGATAGATGTTGAGATAGTATTGTGTTCTTAGTTGATTGATAACTTGATGTTTTATTGTGTTTCAGTTTCTTGTGTTGGAGAAAGTCAGGACACCAGTTCGTCTGCAACATCGTCAAAAATGATAGCTCAAGAGTTGAATGAGTATTCTATTTCTTCTCTCGTTTCACAATCTCGTTACTTTCTCTTGCACTTTGGATTAATGTTGAACTTCATCTTCCACACAGTGGTTACCATGTTACCGAAGCTCTTAGAGTGCAGATGGAAGTGCAAAGAAGACTACATGAACAGTTAGAGGTTGGTATAGTGTACTTTTTGACAGCATTCGCTTCTTTTGATAGTTGTACGGTTAAGTATCATGTATAAGCCAGCCAATCTAGTGAAAATTTTCGAAAGCTACCTGCCGATATTGATCACTCTTTACTGTCTGAGATACATTTTCCGTGTATGAATTTTCTGAAACCTAATGGATTTTCACTTTGCAGGTACAGCGTCGTCTTCAACTTCGGATAGAAGCACAAAGCAAATACCTACAGTCAATTCTTGAGAAAGCCTGCAAAGCTCTGAATGATCAGGCCGCTGCTTCCGCTGGTCTCGAAGCTGCCAGAGAAGAGCTTTCCGATCTGGCAATCAAGGTTTCCAATGATTGTCAAGGGATGGCCCCTCTCAATAACATAAAATTACCTTCTTTACCCGAACTCGCTGCAGCTTTAGAGAACAATGCTACCACTTCCAATATACCAACCCGACTCGGAGACTGCTCCGTCGAAAGCTGTTTGACTTCGACCGGAAGTCCAGTTTCACAGACCGGTGTTACGAAGAAGAGACAAAGGCCCTTGTATGGTAATGATAACCCTTTGCCTTTGGATGGCAGTTTTAGGCAAGAAATAGAGTGGGTGATGCCTAATATTAGTTAATTTGCAGGACATTTCCATCTTAGAAATGCTACTTGTAATTTTATTTTGCTAATCTAAGTGTATTTTCTCTTTTATGGACTGTATCATCAATGTTGTGAATATTTCTAAAAGCACGTCATTTTGAAAATGGGGTCACAAGCCTTTCTTTTTCGACCTTAGAGATGACCAATTTTTTCAATTTCTAAATTGGGAGACCCAAGAGGTAATTTTACCCATAATTTAATTAGCTCGAAACATAACCGAACCTTTTAAATAGACATTTGCTCCAAAAACGAAATCATATAAACTTCGATCAAAAGGAACAAAAAAAAATATAGGAACTTGACAAATAACATTGCTATCTTTCTCCTTCCAATTTATTCCTCTCGATCCCTTCATCGACTCAATGATCAACTTCCGTCGAGTTTTCCATCGAGTCGATCAATAACCAGCTCGGGGAGGGCGAGTTACCCAGATTGAAAAACTATCTCCTTTCAATACCATTTTTAATCGATGGCATGCGAGGTCATAAATTCATGGACATTCATTGGCCTATTGAGTGCTTTCCTTAATCTTTTCATAGCTTATATATTGCTTTGTGGATCATGCGTTGCTTATTTGGCTTTAAAAATTCTGGGTTTCTTTGGACTGTCCTTGCCTTGTCCTTGCAATGGAATTTTTGGGTACTCAAATGAGAACCTTTGTGTTCAAGCCATGTTGGTTAACCACCCATCACTTAAAATCACATCCATTCAACCTTCTGCTATGAAAATGACACCTTTCGAATACAATCTAATGGACTAGTGACGATGTAAACAAATGTGTTTTGCGAATGTAATAAGCTAATGTGCTTTGATTGATCATTTTCTTTGAAATATCCGTATCCGATGCATATTTGGACATAGATATGGAGGTATGACTCTCCAACAATCCTCACACCCGAGTTCGAGTAACATAAGCAGCCAGTATAGCATTACGGTTGTAAATGAAGCTCTGCTGGCCATGGCCATAATGATGACCATATCAGCAGGTTTAGGTGTTGCTATATTCATGACCATTGATTGTTAATACAATCTAACGGACTAGTGAGAATTTGAACAAATGAATTGTGTGTCCAATAAGCTAATGTTGCTCTGACTCTGCATTTTCTTTGAAATATCCGTATCTAGTGCATATTTAGACGTAGCTATTGCGATACGACTCTCCAACAATCCTCACACCCGAGTTCGAGTAACATAGGCAGTAAGCGTTAAGTTACAGCTGTAAATGAAGCTGTTGGCCATATTCATGAAGATAGAAGAAGGTTTTAGTGTTGCTACGTCTGAAGTTGTCGATTGTTTTTAACGCGACTCTTGTTTAAGAAATTTTCCCAATGCTCCGAGTATATAAGCGAATACACATGATATTCCATTTCATATGCTAATACCCTTTCTAATGTGCATTTTTTATGTAAAATAGATGGCAAAGAAAGCTCAAAAGAGTTTGGATTGCTTAAGCAAGGTTCTTCGGGTTTCGAAATTGATGATGACCCTTTTTCTGTGGCTAAGAAAGAATTAGCAGCGGTTGAGTCTCAGTGTGATGATCACAAAAATGTGATTAGGGTCTTAGAACGAGCTCTGGACGAAGAGCATGCTGGTCGTACTGCTCTGTACTTGGAGCTCGAGAAGGAGAGAATTGCTGCTTCTACGGCTGCGGAAGAGGCTCTGGCGATGATACTGCGCCTGCGAGAGGAGAAGGCAGCCATTGAAATGGAAGCAAAGCAATATCTGAGGATGATAGAAGAAAAAGCCACATTTGATGACGAAGAAATGAACATTCTGAAAGAGATTTTATTAAGAGAAAGGGAAAAACTTTTCTTGGAGAAGGAAGTTGAAGCTTACATGCAAATGTTTTTCAACAAAGACCAACTTTACTGATATATATGATGCTGCAGCTGCACAGGAGCAAATGACTTAAATGCGGAGCCGTTGCTAATGTCGATCGTGTCATCAAATCAATCTCTCGAATTTGCCAAAGAGTCACCAATTCCAGGACTCAGTGAAAATCCATCAAGAAGTTATTATGAGATATATCAAGACTTTTGAGAAGGGAATGACATCCAAGGATAAGAACATTAATCTGGTAGGTGAGGAGACAATCCAACCACCGGTGTATTCCGGTATTGATCGAAATGTTCTCGATGTTCATGTCAATAATGAAGATAGAGAAAGCAAAAGGGAAAATAAATCAATTATTTCAAACTCACCTAAAACTTGTGATTATCCAACCAGTGGTGGATCAGAAACTGAGCCTTTGAGGAAAAGAAACAGTTCAGACAGATCTAGTGGGTTACCACCAATTGCTCCTTCAAGGGTCAAATCTTTACCTCCAATTTCTCGTAGAAATTCCATGTCTGCTTTCGATTACGAAATGTCTAAAATAGACAATGAAGTCGGGTTGCTAAGAGAAAGGCTAAGGATTATGCAGCAAGGAAGAGAAAAGCTTAATATCCCTGCAGGTCCCAAGGAAAGGGAACAGTCTCAGATGCAAATGATGGAAAACCTTGCAAGTCAACTTCGAGAGATACGACAATTATCGGTACCTAGGAAGGCTTTGCGACAGGCATCTTTGCCCTCTCCATCCTCTAAGGTGCAGTATATTTCTCCCTGCATCTTCAAAGTCTATGTTGCACTTTGTTTAGCATGATTACTTCTTGCAATAGGCATTTCTTGGATACTACATTAAATCACAAACCAGAATGGTCACCGTCACCTGACCCTTTTCCGGTCCACAATGCCTAAAATCTAGGGCTTATCTGGGATGTGAATGAGCTTTTAACCAATGCGTCAATCTGACCTCGAACAATAATCGTACTTCAATGTAGATGTCCACTTCTAGAAGAAATAAAATCTGTTTTCCCATGTCACTCGCCTCCTCGAAATATCATACTACAATGACATTTCATCCTTGCTATTTAGCCTGCCATTTAGACATAATCTCTTTCTAGAAAGATAACTGTGAGTCAATAGAGCAACTTGGTTGCTTGCTGGGGCTGCATGATTTCAGGTTATGTCAAAGAAGAAACATCAACGCGGTGCCCCTTTAGGAGCGATGAAAAGCATTTAAAGGATAGAATTGTACTTACAAATTTCGGTAAACGGGATGAGCTAGATAGTTCGATTGGTTTGATCCATTTGGTACAGCGCTGATATCTTCCGACGGTGCTGATATCTTCCGACGCTTTGATTGTAACTTCCCTATGATTGCACAGGTAAAGCTGTCTGCAGTAACTTTTTACATTTTAAGGAAATATAAACTGAAAGGATACACACACATGCATACATACAGATATTTACATGTTAGTTTCATCTTATTGTTGTAGAATCCGATCTTGACTACTTGGTAGCTCTTTAGGTTCCTGAAAGAACTGAGCTTCTGTCGATCACACTTCACGTAGCTACCGCTTCGACCGACGAATTCCGGGTGCGATGTTATGACTACGGTGATATAAAGCTGTCGATTATTGTACCAAATGCGATGTTATTACTTATATTAGTTTCTTCAACAAGTTCGAGATTCAAATTTAAAAAAATAACCTTCAACAAGTTCGAGATTCAAATTTAACATTTATATATTTCTTTCTATTCAAATGAATAGAAAAATCAAGGTAAAAATGTCATGTATCTGAGACCAAAAGAGCATCCCATATCATATCCATGTCCAAGGACGGCAATCTACTCAACTGTACACCGTCAACATCCGACGATAAAACCTCCGAAGTTTCTACCGTATTCCGGTCCAAATCCGGAACTTTCTCCGCCGGCATTGATGTCGCTGTCGTAGACGGATCAAGACCAGACTTTTGCGATACCGCCCGCAACTTAGCTTCGAGAAGAGCAGCGGTGTTCCCATTCAAAGAATTGGCAATCACTTGATCCTTGAGATCCGGAAAATTCAGCTGTGCGTATTCTCCCCGCAATATGTAAGCTGCAGTATCGTATGCGATGGCGGCTTCTTCGGCGGTCTCGAAAGTCCCTAACCAAACCCGAGTCCGATTCCTCGGCAACCTTATTTCGGCCACCCATTTCCCCCAATGTCTTTGCCTCACACCTCGGAATAGTTTTCCTGGTGATGAATAGCCCTTTTGGTGCCGGCTTTGAAATCTTCGTCCAGTTCCACTGTGCTTCATGGGGCAAGTCTTGGTGCTGCTGAGCCAATAGTCACTCAAACCTTTATTGGATTGACGATTGGTGAAGTTTCGATTGATTCCAAGCCATTGTTGAGGCACCTGCGATGGTGGGTTTTCGATAATCGAGTCGACGACCGGTTTCAATGGACCAAACATCGTCGGTTCCTGCAAAAACAACGTGGCCACCATTGATGGAGAAGCTTGGTGAACACCAGAAACTGCAACTGATGAAAGAGATGAAGATGGTGATGGTGATGAAGAATCCCAAGCGATTGGATTGCTGAAAAACGTTGAAGCTGTTGGGATTCCATAACTAAAAGATGGCAATTCCTTGTTCAAGAAGGTTTCCATTTCAGGAAACTGATCATCGAAACTCATGATTTTCGCCAAAAATCACAACAACAAATGGAAGAGATAAGAAATGATGCAAATGAAAGCACTATAGTTTATACATAAGCCTTAATCCCAATGTTTAACAAAAATACTATATAGCTGAACCGGGTTTGAAACGACTTGTATTATAAGTTATCTTTCTAGGCAAGTAAGATCTGGCTCGTTGGATTTCAATAATATATACGTAGGCATTCGTGCAAGCCAATAAAAAAAAGTCAGGGATTAGGTTATCTTTTGCTTAGTTACTTGTCATCTAGGGTTCTTTAGATGGTGTGTATTCTGCCATGAAAGTGACCACAATAACTCCAAAAAGGCCATATATTTTCCATGCCACAATTATTTTTGACTAAACTATGGTAATTAATGATAATTTAAATAATTTAAACTAAAGTCAAATTAGTATCTTGAATTGGATCGTTTGGATTGATCGTTAAATATGATAATATATATATTAATTATTAGTTGATTTAACAATATGAGACGTTAAATCTTCTAAATAAGGTCAAGCATTCTAATAAAAGGTGGACGCAAGATTTTATGTCAAAAAGTATAAAATTAGATCATTAATTAAAAAATATACTTTAACTATATGAGAATTTAAAACTCTCAAAGATGTGACCGCTCTAAGCATCCCTTCGGTTCATCTATGATTTTAATTGTAATTGTGAATAGAGCAAACTGAGTTGAAATGATTGTTTTTATAACATACCTTTATGATACCTTATTGAAATTAATTAATCAATAAATGAAACATCAATGATAAGAAAAAAAAACATTATATATATAATATAAATTAGTATATGTGTGTGTGACTAAATGATATTCGATATTAGTTTTAATAATTAATGGTTCAAATGTCATTATTACATATGATATAATACCTTTTAAAAAAATATGTATTTAGTAAAATCTATTTATTATATAAAGAGGATATAACCAAGTGCGAAGCTATGAATTTTTGTTGAGGGTCATAAATAAATTATAAATTTTTAGAAAGTTAAAATATAATTTTATCATAATTGTAGTTTATATTTTTAAAACTTTTAAAGGATTAAAATACAAAAAAAAAATCATTTATGAGATGTCAAAATATAATTCCACCATTTTTAACTAAAATTTTAAAATCTTAGAATGACTAAGACTGGAATTTTACCATTTTAGAGGGTCTACGCCGTAGGCTTTATTATCAAATATTATTATAAACATATTATAATTAAATTTAAATAATTAAACAAAGATTTGCTCCAAAATAATAATTGTAATTAAATCAATTATGTATTTCAATGAGGAAATCATGTCTGCTTTCTATATTATTTATAATTAATTATTTGGGGGTGTCGTAACCGGTTTTCGTCCGGGCGCGAATTTTTTACTTGGCGGGAAAAATAATGTGAATAAATGGTTTTTAAAATAATTTGGGAGTCGCCATCGGCCTTTTGGGTCAGGTAGGTCGAATACCTAAAATTATTTTTTTAAAAGAGTTTTAAGAAAACATCAATTAAAAGATGAATTGATCTGCGTTTATAACCAAAAATTCATTCTTAATAATAATAAAAAGGGATTTGTGGTCGGTTACGTTTAGGGAAGGATTAGCACCCCTACAACGCCCAAAATTAGTACTTTTTTTTAATTATAAATTGTCTCTATTTATTAAAATTTAAAAATTCAAAAATATATTTAATTCATAATCCTTTTATTTCAAATTTATAATTTTAAGAAAATATATTAATATATATATAAATAAGATATTTATTTATTTAGAAATATCAGAAAAGAGCTTCTAGGTGCTTTAAGACAGCTCTTTTCTTTGATATAAATAAATAACTAAAAAAAAATTATTTTAATATAGTAAGATATTTATTTATTCAAAAATATCAGAAAAGAGCTTCTAGGTACCTTAAGACAACTTTTTTCTTTGATATTAAAAATAAATAAATATCAAAATATGATTATTTTTCTTAAAAGTAATTTATAAAATTAATTTATAAATAGGAAAATAGAATAAATAAATAAATATTATATATATTTATAAGACTATATATTGACATAATTAATAAAGAATAATAATAATAGTAATGATAATTAAATATATATGAACATAATATATAAAGGTAACATATGATTAAATAATTTAAAATACAATTAAAACATGGTATAAAAAATAAAAAATAATAAAGCTTGTAAATGAAATATTAAACTTAGGGACTAAATTATAATCTAATAAAATTAAATACCTAATTCATAATTAATTATTTAAAATTATAGGGATTAAACATGCTATTTTCCCTATTTATTAATTTGGTGACTAAATATAATTATAAGAAAATTTGAATAACAGATTAAATAAATTAAAAATATATACTCGGGATTAAAATATGATTTATTAAAACTAAAGGACTAATACGTATTTATCCTAATATATTATTTAATAGAAAGGACTAAAATAAATAAATCTAAAATTAAAGAACCAAATTATAAAGATCTAAAATAGGGTTCAATGACTAAATATAAAGTTTACAAATTCAGAGGACTGCGTAAAGGATTTAACCTTTACCAAATTACACACAGGTCCTCCCTTAAACGACGTCGTTTAAGAGAGGGTATAAATACCCTAGGCTGGCTGGCCCAAAGGGCCAGCATCTCATTTCTCCTCTTTTTCTCTCTCTCAAACTGAGAGATTTCTCTCTCGCCTCTCTCTAGGTTTCCCTCACCGGAGGGAAACCGGCAGCCATAGGCCACCGTACTCCGCCGCCGGCCACCGCCGCCGGCCACCGTAACGGTGGTCGGAATTCACCAAAAACACCCCCAAAGCGTAGATCTAAATGCCCTAAGACCGATTCCGGTCTTTGTTTTCCCTAAAAGACTCCTAATCGGAGTAAATCTACGAAAATACCTTCGGTATTTTTTGTTCTCCGGCGATGTTTAGTGCTTCCGACGGTGGTCAAGGCTCCAAGAGTAAGTTTCTTTTCTTCTTTCTTTGTTTTCTATTTTTTTTCTGGTTGTTGGATGTCCTCGTTTCTCTCCTGTTTTTCCTCTTTTTTTCTCTTCTTTTTTTTTTTGCAGGATTCGGTGATGGCTTTTTATAGCCTGACCGGTGACTTCTTCGGACTGGTCTCGAGGGTTCAGTTTGGTGAGTCACCATAGCTATGGTGGTGACTCACCATAGAGCTCGACGTGAACGGCTGTTATTGTGGCAGCAGAGCTTCTGTGGAGTCTTCTGTTGGTGTCGTCGTGGTACTGGTGTGTCGACAATGGCGGTGGAGGCGTCGGCAGTGGGGCATTGGACCACCTGGCAGTGAAGCGGCAGTTGGAAGCTTGTAGATAGCTGAGGCAGCGCCGCGTGGTTGCCCTAGGGTATCATACCCTAGGGTTTTCGTCTGGAAGTATCAGGACCGTTGGATCTTGGCCAGATCCAACGGCTGTGAGCAATGGCGGCTGGGACATGTGATGAGAAACCCTAGTTGGGTTTTAGGGTTTATGTTGGGCTTTTGTATCTGGGCCTGAGTTCTTGTAATATATATATATATATATATATATAATAATAATAATAATATTTAGTAATAATAAATTTAATAATACTAATAAAATTTAAATGAAAAAATGATGTCTACAGCTGCCCCTCTTTGCTCATCCTTGTGTTAACAAGAATAGAGCAAAGACGAAAAAGACAATAATTTTTTCATTTGGCTTCTTTCGAGCAGGATGGAAATGTTTGAAAACATCATGCACTGAAGGACTTACAGATGACCCGAAGGCTTTGAAAACATCAAAAAGCTCCCGAAGGCTTTTTGGAAACATCATGCACTGAAGGACTTACAGATGACCCGAAGGATTTGAAAACATCAAAAAGCTCCCGAATGCTTTTTGGAAACATCATGCACTGAAGGACTTACAGATGACCCGAAGGCTTTGAAAACATCAAAAAGCTCCCGAAGGCTTTTTGGAAACATCATGCACTGAAGGACTTACAGATGACCCGAAGGCTTTGAAAACATCAAAATGCTCCCGAAGGCTTTTTGGAAACATCATGCACTGAAGGACTTACAGATGACCCGAAGGCTTTGAAAACATCAAAAAGCTCCCGAAGGCTTTTTGGAAACATCATGCACTGAAGGACTTACAGATGACCCGAAGGCTTTGAAAACATCAAAAAGCTCCCGAAGGCTTTTTGGAAACATCATGCACTGAAGGACTTACAGATGACCCGAAGGCTTTGAAAACATCAAAAAGCTCCCGAAGGCTTTTTGGAAACATCATGCACTGGAGGACTTACAGATGACCCGAAGGCTTTGAAAACATCAAAAAGCTCCCGAAGGCTTTTTGGAAACATCATGCACTGAAGGACTTACAGATGACCCGAAGGCTTTGAAAACATCAAAAAGCTCCCGAAGGCTTTTTTTGGAAACATCATGCACTGAAGGAATTACAGATGTGAGAAATAGTTTACTAAGTAAAAAACTAAGAAAATCGTTTTCTTACTTTTCAACAATTTCATTTTAGAAAAGATAAAATGAGAAACTATGAAAATCGTTTTCTCATTATTTTTCAAATAACATTTGATTGGGTAACATGCCCCAATCTCAAGATAATACTCATTCTTGTGGATTGCGTCCATCTCTTCTTCAGATGTTTGCGTGATTCCTGTATTATTGGTTTTGAATACCTTCTTCTTGTAAGGTATTTTTTTTCTTCTTCGTTCTTCCGAAGATCTGTAAAACTTCATGTTTGAATGCACTCAGATGTATCAATGTAATGCATTGTCTATTGTATAAATGATATTCTTATGAATGCATGAATGTTGATGCAATCTTCATTTGACTTCAAAGTGGTGAACTTGGTCTTCCTCTAGTTCATCATTTATTGCCAGGGTTATCTCTGGATATCAATGTAGCAACTTATGCTATCAAGCTTGCATTTCTGCAGAATCATCTGATCAACTTGTATCTTTACTGTCTTCTTTGCTTCATGAAGGTCTCAGAAGAAATGTTTCATTTGTGGAACCCTTGCTGTAGTCAGAACTATGACCTTGATGT